TAATAACTCTCATTGCATTTGAATAGACTTCATTATATTTCTAATAATTCTCATTGCATTTGAATAGTCCTCATTATATTTTTAATAGTTGTCGTTCTGTTTTGATGATCCACATGGTATGCTTCTCATTTTCTTTTCATTTCTTATGGCAAAAAAAACAAGTAATAACCTACTCGTCAACAGCTTCTATAAATAATTCGTCTTTTTGATATTGCTTTCATTCAGAATTTGTTTATCAAATGGCCACGAAGAATAGTATGTCTATCGCAGCTAAAGGTTATGCGTTGCATGATGAACAAGCTAAGTTCGACCTGTTTAATTTTCAACGACGAGCACCAGATGAGTATGATATCATGATAGAAATTTATTTTTGTGGTATCTGTCACTCGGATATTCATCAGGTATGAATGTAATTACCAATTATTTGAAATACATACTTGCTCATAGTCTCGCAATGAATGGCATAATTCGATTTATCCTATGGTACCTGGCCATGAGATTACAGGTATTGCAAAGATGGTTGGCTCAAGTGTTGCTACTATTCAAGTGGGCGATGCGGTAGGTGTTGGCTGTTATATCGACTCGTGTCGTGTATGCAAACCTTGTGAGTACGCAGTTTAATATACATACTCTCATGTTGACGTGTATTAAGGCAAAGAGAATATGGAACAGCACTGTGCTGCCGGATGGGTGCCGACTTATAATGGTACTGAACTCGACAAAACAACGGTCACTTATGGAGGTAAATATGGAATCTTTTACCTACGATTGATACATCTGAAGCCTGTGAAGTTTTGAATATAACTATTTTTTCGTATTTATTCTCTCCGTCATTTGAGGCTCTAAATATTTCATGCGTGAGTAACAGGAAATGCGTTATGCTCTTCTTATTTTGATGTAAGATCTGTAACTATTTGAATAGCTGAGTATCGATCAGTAAAAGACAGAGATATGACAAGGCAAGCGTGAGAAGTCGTCTTCAAGTACACATATCTGTATTTGTACTCGCATTCCAACCCTAGCAGATAATGAAATTTGACATTCGTTTGTTCCATGCTCTCTATCAGCCTATGAATGCACCAACAGAGAGAAATTTAAATAAACACGAACAGAACATTCAGTCATTTTTGTTTGCTCATCTAAATAGAAAATTGACATCATTTGGACTCATATACTCTAATCTAACATATTCCAGCGATCGACCTCAATTGATACTATTATTTGAGGTTGGGTCTGGGTGTGTGCCGATTATGAGACCCACATTCACACTCACCTGCAGATTCCGAATAAACTTAACGAGTAATGCATTCTATCTTTAATTGATTGATACTCAACTATTTGTAACTATCGACGTCGTTCTTCTTTTCAAATGTGCAAGAGTTCTTGCACTTTTCGTTCTTTTATAATCGAAAACTTGAAATATGCAATGATGATGAAAATTAGCGTGAAAAAGCAGCTATGTTTTACATGCGTTATATTTAGGACCATCCACTTTAAACTTGAGAAAAGGTGTAATTAATCTTTATTTCTTTTTGAGGCTATGCAAACGTTATTGTAATAAAGGAGCACTTTGTGTGTAAACTACCCAATGGTCTTGATTTGGCCAAAACAGCTCCCCTTCTCTGTGCTGGTATAACGAGCTATGCACCATTTCAAGAACACAATGTTGGTCCAAATACACGTGTCGGGTATGATTAACTTATCATTTTGTTTTAGCATCAATTATAGCTTTGATTGTGTTTTTTCTAATTATTCATTTGTATTATTCGAAAGATATCTAAATAGAAACATTTTTCATATTTTTAGTTAGTACACTGTAAAAAATTAGTATAGAATAATACACCCTCTAAAAGGGTTTTTTAACCTCATAAACCCTCTTATATACCCTTTTAGTATGGTGAATCCTGTCTTAAACCCTTTTTCTTCATCAACCCTAGGAATGGTATGTTATACGTTGCACTTTCATAAACTCCTTAGGGTATATGACCAGTAATATACCGTTGAAGGGTTTTTTAACTTCATGAACCCTTCGGAAAAGAAATTTTTATTCTACGGTTTCTTACCAATGGTATATTATTAAACCATTCTCCGTAAGGTTTATGAAGTTAAAGAACCCTTTAACGGTATATTGCGAGTGGGTGTGGGTGT